TTGAGCAATGATTATCAACGACCCCATTCATAAAATGATCACAAAAATATCCTTCCATCAACGGCCATGACTTAAACAATTATGGGGTGATTTTGGTTGATTATGCATTATTCAGCAATTTTACTTTATTATGCAATATTATGCAAATTGCATAAAATCGTCGTCCCTGGAACGGAACAACTTTGAACACTCCATTTTATCATTAGTTAGTAAAAAATCTACATAACAATGCAATGGACGTCCTCAGAAATTAAAATTTTGATTTAACCGATCTGTCCTCATTTAATTTTTGATTAAGATTTATTTTTACTACTTACCCTCTAATACTAAGATTTTTAAATTTCGAATATTTGTAAATTCCATATTTCAAATTTCGAATGTTTGTAATGTTTGAAATGATTATGAATATTCAAATAAATACAAGTATCTGAAATGAATATGAATATATGAAATAATTACGAATATCTGAAATAACTATGAATATGAATATATGAATATCTGAAATAATTATGAATATCCAAAATAATTACAAATATTTGAAAGAGTTACAAAATAAATTGTATATATATATTAAAATATCCTTCATTTTCCATTTCAAAGATTAAATTTTTGAGGTTATCAATCTTAATCAAATCAAATTTTATCAATTTAATTTCTGAGGACGTCCAATAAATACATATGTTTCACCCCATTTTCAATATTTTAAGTAATTTAATTCGATAAGTCGGTCATATGAGCTCACCCCACATGACCGACTTATCGAGTTTATGTATGTAAAAACTACACATTAATTTTAATATTTATTTCAATAAAAAAAATTTTGTGTAAGTAAATACAATATTTGTGGCTTAAACAAAAGTTAATAATTTTATTTAAATTTGGGAAATGTATTAACTTGTAATAGATATAATATTATTAACTGGGGAATGGTGTCAATAAGGACCCGAACAATTATATTAATATTAATATGGACACTCATAATGTTACACGATCTTTAAAAGTATTAGTATCCTCACTTGATGATCCGCCAAAATAATCGAATAAACGGGTAATACAAATACTTGTTTTTTTACCAACAGTCACAGGACATTTCCCGCCGATCTATAGGGTAGTAAAATTTGATGATCTGCATCATAGTAAAGTTCGAATTTACATAGTAAAATTTTATAATCGAATGTCTTCACACCCTCATTTGATGCCCTTGCTGTGTAGCAACCACCACCAAAT